TGTCAGCAACAGTGTAATAGAGTATACGCGATGACAGACCAAACCTGCATCTCATCCATCTCGGCCTCCTGACTGTCATCGAAATGAAACGATATATCTTAATTCTACCTCTAACTTTTCGTTTTTCTATGTAATTTTCGTAGTATCTTGTCTAAACAAGATGACGTTTGTTCAATCATTGACACGTGTAGTCCGCATATAATCCTCGGAACCGAAACTTGGTTATCAGAGGACATAGATAAAAAAGAACTTGCTTTTTCTGGTGAATACAATATCTTCCGTAAAGACAGAATTCATTCGAGAGGCGGCGGGGACATGATCGCAGTAAAAAATGTCCTTTCATCTGACATCCTTAAAATCGCATTTGAACTTGTGATGATTTGGGTTCGTGTAAAATTAGTATGCACCTACATTATCATTGGAGTTTGTTACCGACCACCATCAATCTCTGGGCAGTTCAGTGATAAACTTAACGAGTACATAAACTACGTAGTCAGTATTTATCTCAGATGCCCAGTAGTGTTGGCCGGAGACTTTAACTATTCATGAGTCAACTGGAGTGACTGTTCGCTTCGCGCAGGCTGCCGTGATTCATCTGAGTGCCGAGAGTTTTTCGCAGTCACTCAGTCGTATAACCTTTATCAAATTGTTTTAAATACTACGCGAGGTGATTCTGTTCTTGATTTGCTTTTTTCATCACACCCTGAATGCATTTCTGCTTGCCACATATAAGAAACAATTAGTGACCATAACGCTGTTCCTATCAACTCTACAATCTCTCCGGCTAAGCGAAATATAATTAGAAAAACATTCCTAAACTTTTCCAAGGTGGACGCCAATAAACTGCAATGCTATTTTAACTCCTTCTCAAGCGAGTACCTAGAAGTCTTCGACACTCGTTCTGTATCTGAGAACTGGACGCTACTGAAGGATAAAATAACAGAAATTGTTAAGGAGTGTGTTCCGGTGGTTTTCATTAATAAGAATTTAAAAAATCCTTGGTTTAAGAACCACCATAAAGAACTTTTAAACAGGGAGAAACGATTTTCTTTAGCTAAGTCACGAGGCACTCCTGACTTGTGGTCTAAATCTAACGAAATCGCAAAAAAACTTACAAGTTAAAGATAAAGAAGAGTAGATTCAAATTTTTTAATCGCGAACCTGCTAGCGCGTTACTTACTAATGCAAAAAAGTTCTTGCAAGCGGTCTCGCCTAGGAAGCACAACCCCTCACTCACCCATTCTCCACGACAGTAGTGGAACCATTTTGTCACGTCATGACTGATCAACCATATTTAACACGTTCTTTAGTTCAGTGTGGAGGGACGAGTCATTTCCATTACCGTAGACGCTGAGGCGTGCTCGCACGAGCATGGATGACATAAAATTTACATCATACGGAGTTGTAAACGTCATCAAACGTTTGCGCGCAAATTCGGCTTGCGGGGACGATAACATCACCTCAAATTATCTCAAATCGCCAAAGAAAAAATATCAATTATTTTGTGCCGCCCTTTTTTAAGCTTCACTTGATGTTTTTTTTTTTTTTTTTAATTACCGCTCGAATGGAAAGTTGCAAAAGACATCCCTGTACACAAGCATGGAAACCGCAACGACCCTTCAAATTACAGACCCATCTCTCTGACAAGCATTCCATGTAAAATATTCGAACATGTTATCTACTCTCAGGTCATGGACTATCCTAACATCTTACATCTTTAGCTATCTTCACCCTCACCAACACGGCTTTCGCAAACATTTTTCTTGTGATAGTCAGTTATTTGAATTCGTAACAGATCTCCACAATAACTTTAACGATTTTTATGCTACGGACGGAATTTTAATTGATTTCGCTAAAGCCTTTGGTACTGTCCCTCATCAACGCTTTCTTCTAAAATTTTCTCAATTAAACATAAATGACGAAATAATCAGTTGGATCTCATCATTTCTCACTAATCGTAAGCAGTATGTATGTATAGATGACACGTCCTCGCCCGCCATTACAGTTAAATCCGGAGTCCCACAGGGACTCCGGATTTAACTGTCTTAGGTTCACTTTTGTTTCTCATCTACATAAACGGCTTACCTTCCCTAATCTCGTCATCAGTGAGGCTTTTTTGCTGATCACTGTGTACTTTACCGCCGAATTCCGCATCCTAGCGATTCGGAGCTCCTTCAATGCGACATCGACATCTTGGGTAAATGGTGCTTAACATAGCAAATGAACATCAATGTTACTAAAACCAAGCTCATTTCTTTTAATTCCTCAAAACAGCACACTCCCACGAACAAATTTTTTTTAGATCTATTTTATCCACTCAGTTATGCAAATACCTAATGATCACATTCACAGAAGATCTAACCTGGAATGCCCATATCGAAAACATCGTTAACGTATCGTTAAGAACTCTGGGTATTCTGAGAAGGTATTTATACCTTGCTCAACGGGACGTGAAGCTTACTGCATATAAAACCCTCGTTAGATCAAAACTTGAATTTGCTAGCACCATATGGGCTCCTCATCAACTTTACGTAATTAATATGCTAGAATCAGTCCAGAATAAGGCCGTCCAGTTCATTTATCGAAAATATAGTACGAAAACCAGTGTCTCCCAACAAAAGGTTCTTTCTAATTTAACTCCTCTTGAATCGCGTCGGACCAGTGGCTCGCCTTACTCTTTTTTATAAGTTTTATTACAACATGCCATCATTCATGCTCACCCACTGTAAGCCTGCCTCATACATTTCTTTGCGTCATGATCATTCTTTAAAAAACGCACCTATATTCGGCTGCACGAATACATACAAATACTCTCCTCTTGCTCTGTCCATTAAAAACTGGTATTCTATCCCAAACGGCAGAATCGCTGAAGAAAACGAAATAATATTCCGCGGAAAATAGTCGGCTTTGGTGCTATAATATGTTTTCAGCGCGAAGTCTGCTCGTGTTTGCTATAAATGGCGCACTGTGTCCCCAGTTCTGTTGTGCCCGGTTTTTGTAAACTTTGTTCTGAATTTTGTATAGTTCGTTATAGTTTTTGTTTGTTGTTAATTTTTAACTTTACTTAGTTCTTTGATTGCCATGGTATCATTGCATTTGTTTGTAATTTCTACCCCTCCCCCTCACCTCATGTAATACGTTCGAACGAACGTCTTTGAGGCGAATAAAACTTAAACTTGAACCTACCGATTAATGAACTAATGTTTTAATCGCGATTTGTTTTAAATAGTTAATGGGCATAAGTTTCGCGAACCCCAGTGAATTACAAATTAAAAGCTTTCACTACGTGCATGTGGACGGGCACACATGCAGGAAAGTAAAACGTTACGTGAAATTTTAACCTGAAGTAAACTCTAGGGGCGAGATTTGTAACGCCAGAGAACTGCAGAAGGTTACACGTGTCCTGGCCGCTTCAACGCCGAGCGAGTGCTCGTTTAGCTCTGAAGAGATTATTATTAAGAATAAAAGGAGCACTCTTTCCCGACAATACAAAGGACCCTTTTGCCTCATGCAGCTGAAGTAAGAATCTGAATGTGAATGTTCCTTTTTAAACTTTTTTCAAGTACACACTGAGGTTCTTAATAATTGAAATTGCATATTGCGCCATTTTTCACATATTCAGCAAAGGAAAAAAAGATAATAATTGGCGTTCTAAAAGTATTAAATATGGAAATAAATGAGACCGATTATTAAAATAACTATTCCATTAAAGGGTGGCGATTAGCCGGGTAATATTTTAATCGACGCCCAGCCCTCGTTGACACTATGAACTGTGAGGCCCTGTAACATCACAGCGTCCCTTGCTATTAAGTGAAGATAGTTATGTCTAAAACCACAGTACGCTGCTTAAAAAGAAGAACATATTTCTCGTAACGTCAGTAGTGCATATGGCTTGTCCTTGAATTTTATATAAACGATTACGCGCCCTAATAAAGTGTTTGCTTAATGAAACGTAACTTAGAGCGAAAGAGATTATCATGGCACTCATGTAGTCCAATTAGTACGCAGCGTGTAAAAATTCGTTACAACGACACCAATTCTACGCTCCATTCCTTCATTTAAAGTCGTCGAATGACCTCCAGTGTAATAATAATAAACCATATAATAGAGCCTACTTTCATCACCAGTTCCCCGCTAAACTTACGTTCGTTTTTCACTCCCATAGATAACGGAATAGAGCGGTAAGGGCATGTGTTCGATCAGGAAGTGCTGACATTCACGCACGTATTATAATTAAGCCTGAAGCTTAGTTAATAAACAGAATCGCAAGGCCGCCTTTACTGATCTGCCGATGACTAGCTGAAATGTCGATGCACTGAACCGCCAATGAAGGACCCATACACAAAACACGTTGCTAACGTTAATGCGATCAAAATAAAAGAGGGAAAAGTGAACATCAGTTACGGCTGATCAAAACCGTCTTATATAAAAAATGTATCAGGTAGCCCGGGAGTTTACTCGATGGCATGATCATGGAATTAGCAATATCCACAGCCTAGCTTTGATACCTTCGCAAGATATTGCGCAAGCTTCCACTTCGAGTGAGAGCATGATGACTGTATCAAACTATACCATTTGTCTCCGACGTATTTGAACAAGTCGGCCATTTAAGCAGCGCAACATTGAGAATGAAAAAAAAAAAAAAAAAGAAGTCTTACAGGCAGGATACGTCTTGTTTGCGTTCTAGATTAAATGTCAGTATATTCATTGTAATTTCTGACGAAAGTAGCATTCTCCGTCCATCCGGTGTACCACACGTTTTCCCTTCTTTTGGTGTTGAGTATTGTTGGTAATATTTTTGAAGAGCTCGACTCTCAATGGACGGAAGCTTCACTCGCATCCCGCTATACCTCCGCCCCTGACAAGCTCTAAATTCCGAAAGAGATTGTCGTCGCTGTCGTTTCCTAAAAAAAGCGCCGCGACACTTTCACCCTTGCTCTCTCCCTCCACCTTCTCTCCTCTTTTCAGCTCGCGAGGGGATGGTAGCGCGCACGCCTCTCCCAGTCACGCCAGTGCTCGGAGTGAATGCGGTGGCGGCTCCGCGAACTACGCGGCCCCGGGCACGCATCCTGCCCAGCGCAGGAGCAAGTCAGAAGGGAGCCGCGGAGTCACGCCAGCCGCGCAGGCGCACAGTGTGATATCGACGCTACGGAGCCGAAAGAAAGGACCGACGGGGTCGTCGGCTTTGCGCTCGCTGCCGGCGTGGAAGACGCACATTGCAGGCTGGGGCGCGAGCTGGAAGCCACAGTCGTCGCTTCGGATGCTGGAAGCCGAGGAGCCGATGGGGCCACTTTCTTCTCGGAGGTGTTGCGGTGCTCTTCCAGCCATAGGAGGTGTAGCTGATGTGTGGGAATCGCTTCGGAACTTGCGCGCATACGACGCCTTCGCCGAGACTGAAATTCGCGCCGCGGCTGTAAAGGTGAGCAAAACCTTCGCTTGACTACTATCCGCACTCGGTCGCCGAAATGACCTTTCGGAACGAACGCAATTGATTTCCTCGACCCGTTCTATGCTCTGTTTCATTTCCAAGTGCGAGCGAACTAACAAGCGCGAACACCGGGATTTTAGCGTCCCTGTTGTGCACGCGCACTCTCGTGGTGGGCAAGCATTGTTCGGGGCAACATGCTCGTGTTTTAAGCTTCGGCATCTTGGATGTTATGATTTTAGTGCTCTCGCGTACGGTGCGAGTTTTTCTCGCCTTTCGATGCGATAAAGATGCTGATGCTGAGCTTTACATCAAGCACGTATAGGCTGCAATTTGTTTTATGAACATTAGAATTGCGTATAGTAAGAAGTTATGTCTCTTCGCAGACATGCCAAATACCCCTTGCTTAACCCCTTTTTTCTACGCCAGTGCTTTGTAACCTTGTGAAACATGGTTCTGCGAGACAGGATCGTGCGTGTCGCTATAAAACTCACTGTGTTAGTTTGCCATGCATTATACGCGGCTCGCTCGCCTAATGACACCAGGACATAGTTCTTCACAACACGTCGTTTGTTGCCTTCTCTGTCTTCCCCAACCTTGCCGTCGTTGCGAAGGAGTAAAGCAATCTTACTCCGTCGCTTTGCGGGGTCATAAAAATAAACAGCCCTTTGATAGCAAATCAGATAATTAGAACGATAGACTTGCGGCTTCGCGAGAATGCGACGCTGTTCTAACGAAATTCGAAAAACGTTTCGTTGTAACGTCAAGTTATTCGTGTTCCGCAAATACACGCGAGTGATCGAGGAGTACAGCATGTTTTCAGTAGCTCTTAGATATGAATTTGGCAATAAAGTGCTAGCAGATTGTTACTGCGCCAACGACACAACTTCTTGGGTATACATGTGCCGGAAAGAATAACCATCTATGGCGTCAATGCAAAAGATAATATGGGTAAACTGTCTGAAACGATAACGCATTCCAAAAAGATGATGAAGTTATTTGTTGGATATTTCCGGGCGCAACCCCACAAAATTTTAGGCGATAACGACACTTCAGGGTAAACTGAGACGAACATAGCTATGATAAAACGCTGTCACTGTTCTGCGCTGTTTACACTGATAGGGCCATTTGTTCACGCCGTTTCATATACTTTTCAGTCTTGTGAGAATTACAGGCAGTGCTCGCCTGTTAACGTTATATGAGAAAATATACTTCGTCTTCAGTGTTCCACCGACTACAAACTGGTCTATATAAAATTATACACCTAATTGCAAGCAAATCATACTTTAGTAATAGGTGCTTCGAGCTCGTGACGGAGGTTCGTGCATAGGTCGGCTCGGCGATTCCTAAGAGACCTATGTTGCTCGCAACCTATGGCTGACCGTGTGACATAGTTGTGCTTGAGAGGTGAACTTCGGTCACCAGTGTACACCAAATATAGTAAGCTAGTTTTAAAACAGTACATCATAATACAATGTAGACAAATAGTCACTAGTGAAAAACTCGCTCAAAAGGTTAATGAAGTCGCCGTCTCTGCGTTATGCGTCTACGGCGTTATCAAGCTCGGAATTTTCGCTGAGCGTTATGTTTCAAGGCTATAGTTGAATATGAACTACCGTGGAACAACCATACCGGGTGTATTGTTGCACAATAACTCCAGTGCTGACATTTTAAAAGCGCCTCGAAGTAGGTTTTATTTTATAGTATCTCTTATCAAAAGGGAGTCAAATACTTTCGCGCAAGCCATGTTCACCAAAGTTAATTTCTCTGCTCATCCTGAGTTTATTGTTTTATTAAAGCAGACGAAAAAAATAACATAAGACTCTCGTACTAATTTAATGTAAAATAATTCCGCGTTTTTTTTTTCTTTTATTTATGTGCCGAGATATTTGTATTTATGAAAGGGACAGTGTGGTGTGGAGGGGCTGTCAGACGGCGTTTATGTGGCCTTGGGAGTCGCAAACTTAAAGGGGCCCTGCAATCACATTTAAGCGTCTACCTTTTTAGCGGTTTCTACGTCTCTTGGGGTTGGGGCAAGCCAGCGGGCACGGAGAGAGTAACTAAATATCAGTGCGTCATATTTTAACCGGACGACGCGGAAAACTCCTCCACCGACGAGGGCGACCCGCGGTACCGAAAGCGCGCAAAATGTGACGTCTTTGGTCCTGGGCTTGCCACTGGTCAAAGCCGTTAAGAGCTTTTTTTTAGTCGAGATACAAAATATAAGTGTCGCGAACCGTTTCAATTATGTATGAAAGTAGTTTTTGTTCACTATTTTAGATCAGAAAAGAAACAAATGCAGTTTAGGAAGTACGGAAACGAGAAATGACCCGTCGACATACCCGCCACCAAGCGGCGGAAAAAAACGGCGCATACTAGAAAAGGCTAGTGGGATGACGCTACGACAAACGAGGAGCGTAGAAAGGTCCCGGATGTACTCGGTGGCGCTGTGGTCGTATACCGGCTCGAGAATCCGACCGGTTCCGAGCGTTCCGAAGGCCTTCGGCGCTGGCCCTGTTGGCGATTTGGCCATTTGGCGGTGCGTCAGCGCGAAGTGGCTCCCGTTCTGAACTGATCTTTACCCCGTGTTTGCTGTCGTTTGTGGCCAATGAAATGTTATGCCGAATTAGTGTTTAGTCGCGCTGCAAATGCAATACGAGCTGCCCTGGCCGCCCGCTTCATACAGCCTATCGAACACGTGCTTTAGTGGCGCCCTCTCGAGCCGTCGACACGGAGTGCGGCAGCCGTGTGCGCTCGATGAGCTCACTACTCCTCCTCTAGTTCAAGGCCACTCAAGGCAGGACCTACGACGTCATTAGGAGGTTATTTTTTGCTTGTTTTGTAATTCTAATTTGCCTATAACTTTTAAAATAAAGCGAGATTTGAGAAAAGAAAAGTTGGATTAAGTTACTACGTTCAGTACGCTCAGGTTCAGTGCAAATTAAAAACCAGTCAAAAAATCATTGCAGGGCCCCTTTAAATATGCACACATCTTTTGCCTAAAACAGTTGTCGGGCTCGCAATCGAAGCCATGACTTGCAAGTTTGAAGAACAGTTTTGCGTTATCTGGGCGTACACAAGCGTTGGAACGTGAGTAAGCCGGTACGAGTGATACCATGCATGACTGGCCACTGTCCTGTATATCATTTGTGAGCGAACGTGGCGCTGTACTTTGCCTAAAAAGGATATGCGTAGTCAATGCTTTGTTTACAACTTGTGAGGGGCTGTGCGGCGCAGACTGAGCTGAAGGTGAATGCTGTATTGATATTATAAAGGTATTTTTTTCCTTCTCTTGAATTTATAATGCTCCAATATGTGAGTGCTTGTGCGATCACGGTTGTAGGTTTTTGTTTCCTTTTCATCTCAGAATAGGTTATCTTTATTCATCTAATTCATAAGCTAGGCGCAAATTAGCCTCGCTGTTATACATCGAGCCCGCGCCGGCAACAAAAACTAGTAAGCTGATTCGCAACTTGACATCTGGATTGTCCTATTTACATTTTCAAAGTTTCAGCACGTTATTTTTTGCCCCTCCTTCGTCCATTGCATGATTAAATCACACCCCGATGTTAGATATTGTCAGCGACAGATTATCTACCGGCCCTGGCCGAACAACTACACACGTGAAACTGAAGTCTCGAAAACGTAACCTTGTCCGATATGAAAGGCAGCGTACTAATTTCGATCGGTTGGACGTGGTTCCAACATGGCTGACGCCCGTACTACCCTGCCCAGGCAAGCCTGTGAGTAGGTCGGTAGCACGGTTGAAGAGGAGAGAGGTGTCAGAACAGGGCTAGAAAGAGGTTTGAAATTCCACCGGGGCTTCGCGCATCTCCCGGGCGGGCTCTGTCGGCTTGGGGTTTGGAGCGCAGGAACAGTCGCGCGCCGTGGGGCCTTCGGGCGGGCTCGACCACGCACCTCGCGGGCTTGAAAACGTGTGGGCAAATAGGCACGGTTTTTCCAGCTCCTTTCATGTTTCATGCTGTACCATCTCACGGCGTTTGCCAGAAATGGGAGCAAAGCTTCGACACCCTGGCTACTTTTCGGGGGTGGAATGTGGCCCGGAGGGGCGACGCTATGACGTCTCAAAGTATCGTGACACGTGACATCACTGCTTGTTTTAGTTGTTTTTGCTTCGGGACATGTGTCACGTGACATATGACGTCACTGGTAAGTCGCCCGGCGGCTGAACCAATCAGCGGCGCCGCGAAAGTGACGTGAGGTGCGCCTCGGGTTTGTTTACGTCCGGCAGGCCGAACTTCTGCGGGAGAAGCAACCAACGTTACATGTCCGTTCAACGCTTCGGTTCGCGGTAGCGGCCATGAATACAGAGCCACGGAGGTCTCCGGGGTGGCTCTGGTCAGCGCTATTAAAGAATATCCATTGCTTTATAAACCCAGCACCCCGATTTGAACGAGCGCCCAAAAAAGAACTCACCGTGCCAGCAAATCTGTGCCACCTCTTAAAGGGAAACTTCGCCGTCTTTTCGAGCTACCTAACCCAAACGCATAATCCGAATGCGAATGGCTTTCTGATTCTGAAATGCTATCTCGTTCTCCCAGATTCACTGTAGTTAACCTAAAAAAGTGATATATTTTTCTTTTGTTGCCGAAACCGAAACATTGTTCTCCCTAGTTTTCCCCCAGTTCTCCCCGCCGCCTAAACGTGGCGTCACTGGTGTGCAGCGAGGCGCGCGGCCGGCAATCGGGTACGCTCGCGCCCGCCTTTTCTCGCGTCTAACAGCGAGAAAACCTGGGCGTCCGTGCTGTTTGAAGTTGATAATTATATATAAATTTGCACAAAGTATGGCCTTGACTTACGTACATAACTATAAGAAAGCAAGAAAAAAAAAAAAAACAAACGGGAGCAATTCGAATTTTTATAAAATCGTTTTTGCAACTCGCTACGCTCAAGCCGCGGCTTGCTAGTTTCGTGATGTCGCTAGTAAATCCGTTCCCTTTTTATTAGAAGATGGCTGACAAAGAAAGGTCGAA